GTAATTATTATACTGTATATACTTGGTAATTATTATACTGTATATACTTGGTAATTATTATACTGTATTATAGTTGGTAATTATTATACTGTATATAGTTGGTAATTATTATACTGTATATAGTTGGTAATTATTATACTGTATATAGTTGGTAATTATTATACTGTATATAGTTGGTAATTATTATACTGTATATAGTTGGTAATTATTATACTGTATATAGTTGGTAATTATTATACTGTATATAGTTGGTAATTATTATACTGTATATAGTTGGTAATTATTATACTGTATATAGTTGGTAATTTTGGAGGTAAAATTTGACTTTTGATAGCTAGTCACCAAAATAAAGTCCACCATTATGTACATGGTGTCATGCTCAATTACAAATTAAAACCCACAAATCACCAAAAATTTAGCACTATTCACCAAAACTTTATTCTTAAAAATCAAACTCAATTACATTAATGTTGTACCTATAGATATTGAATGAAGATGGACAGACTACCAGTACACGGGAGAAGATACTAACAATAACCGTAGGAAGAGGCTGGAGAGAGGGTACAAAGGTCAGGTTCACTAAAGAAGGAGACCAGGGACCCAACAGGATACCTTGTAATCTGCAGACTAACCCATCAGTACAGTATATTAGATACTCCTCATTCATCCTTTAGGTGATATAGTGTTTGTGATTAAGGACTTACCTCATTCCCAGTATCATAGAGAAGGGAATAACCTCATATACCAACCACTCATTAGTCTAGTAACAGTAAGATATACATGCATGTACTATTAATATTATAATAGTAGCATAAATCATCATGATACAGTGTACATCATGAACCAATAATCATTATACATCAATGGACTGAATTAGGGACCTGTGTGTGTGTACTAATGACACATTAACTAATAATGTGCAATTATTTCAAACTATTATGTACATGTACATATAATATCGTATCTAATATCAATCTATTCCATTATAATAGGCATTAACAGGAGGAGCAGTGGAACTACTGACACTGGACAATAGACTCATAACAGTACCAATAACTGATGTGATATATCCTGGTAGAGAGATAAGGGTTGTGGGAGAGGGTATGCCCCTGGTTGATGATCCTAATGAGAGAGGAGACCTCATTATTAGGTTCAATGTCTCCTTCCCTGCAGTACTCAACCCTCAGCAAAAACAACTCATTAAACAAGCACTTGTTGTTAACATTTAAAAATACATTTACTTAATGATACTTTTAAAGATTAATAAGTAATGCACAACACTCTATAATGTACTACCTTTGTATCAATTGGGACATTACATGTCATCAGTGTAGAGTATAGTTGAGGGTGAATGGAGGTCAGTGGGTTGTATAGTACTTTAATTGTCATTATTTTAGATCAAGGGCAAATTTAAAAATTCATAAAAAATCCAAATTTGATCAAAATCATCTCGAACTTTCTACACAACGTAAGAACATGTATATGTATCAGGAAATATTATAAAAATGGAGAATTCTCTCCTTTCAAATTTTGGTAAAATTTGGCCAGTGACCCTGTATGAGGAAAAGCACATGTAAATAGTGGTATGTCTATTGAATTTAAATCAAGCAATCTGATTGGTCTGATTTGGTCAGCATGGTAGAGTAATCATTATTATTATTGTTATTTATTTGCTTCAAATAAATTCAGGTCCACATGAGGTAGCATCTCATTCTATTGTTTGAACAGGCTGACACTTACAGGATCACTGATGAAAAGAAGGGCGTATTAATATAGGTGTGGCTTCCTACCACAAAAATAATGTTAAATTAAACTGACAAAGGCAATTTCAAATTTTCAAATAAAATTTCTTGTTTTACTCCTTCACAA